AGATAAGTCTTCCGAAGATATTCAGAATGAAATTGGAGGAGAGGAAGCGAAACTTGAAATGGTTCACGTCGCCAATCCCAATATATTACGGGAGTTCGAAAAGCGTGCTGAGGAAATCGATCGTTTGACACGAAAGATGGTTGGATCCAACGAGAAGCTGGAGGGCCTCAGCCAAGAAATCGACGAGTTGAAATCCAGGTGGGAACCACGACTTGACGAGTTAGTTTCAAAGATCAACGACGCATTTGCATACAACTTTGAGCAGATAAGCTGTGCTGGGGAGGTTCGTGTACACAAGCCAGAGGATTTTGACGCTTGGGCTCTAGACATCATGGTTCGTTTTCGGTATGTCTTACTCTTCCTTTCCTGACTTATCTTTGCCCATTTTTAACCAGTGACTTTCAGCGAAAATGAAACCCTTCAACAACTAACAGCACATCGCCAATCCGGTGGCGAGCGAGCTGTCTCTACCATCTTCTTCCTCATGGCTCTTCAATCTCTAGCCCAGTCACCATTCCGTGTTGTGGATGAAATCAACCAGGGCATGGACCCTCGCAATGAACGTATGGTGCACGAACGAATGGTCGAGATCGCATGCCGTGAGCACTCAAGTCAATATTTCCTCATCACTCCGAAGCTCTTGACAGGTCTGCGATATGACCCTAAGATGCGTGTGCTTTGTATTGCGAGTGGCGAGCACATGCCTCGCGAGGGGCGCAAGCTTGATTTTAAACGATGCTTAAATATTCAGAAGGGTCTTATGGCCGCTTCCGCTTAAGGCGTGAGCTCAGGCGTTGCTTCTTTCTTGTAATGCTAGTTAGTACTGGATCAAAGTCGATTTGCATCGTTTTGCGCGGCATGGATGGGAGACGAGGCGAAAAGGATTTAGAGTTCATGAGGACATATGATGGTTTTATAGCATTAATAAACACTAGAGGGAGACATGGGTTTCCGAGATCTCCAGACGCCGTTTCTTGCCTCTATTCTTGATTTGGCCCATTTACAACGAGTATATTGAAGAAAGTGCAGGCTTGCGCTCAATCAGTATGGGTGTGAAAGGAGGAGGAAGGCGAATGCTTCAAATTTAAACTAGACAATACTTCATTTATTCATTGACGCTTCTTCCAACCGTACGTTGCCTCGTGCTATAAAGTAGGATCTTCCTATAAGAGGCAAAGACATCATCCATGCCTATCTTCTTTCCCTCCGATACCACAGAACCGATGAATAGAAAAAAGTCTCTTATTTTACATGGCGTGTTCTTCAAACATGGAGAAGAACAACTAGAACAAAATTCCGCCAACCCAATTCTCTTTGGTAAGAGAAGAAAGGAAGGGAGGAAATAGATTACCAGCCCCTCTTCGAAATGAATTAAGTTTCAGGGAATCAACCAAGCTGAAAAGTGCAAAATGAAACAGAAAGAAATCCCGAATATAAGAACAAAAAAGGGTTGTCTGCCAGCTGAGACAACTTAAACTCCATTCCACCTTTGCGAAGATCAGGAAGTACAGACACTAACCATCGGCCCGGATAAATCAAAACGAAGACGGCGGGTATATTCGAGTCATGAAAGCGTATCGGTAGCCAGGAAGTGCTTCGGATTAGGGGTGTCGGGGCTTTTCCCCGTCACTGTGGTGTTCCTCAGTATCGAGCCTTTTGCGCCAATCCGCGAGACTTTCGCTGAGGCCAACACCTGTAGCGGTATCGTTCTCCTTCTTTGCAGCAGAAGCAGTCTCGAAATCAAAATTGGTGCTCAGTCGATAGTTCTTGTTGGTTGCCTCCCATTGACTCCGAAGGGTCTCGAGTTCGTTGGCAAGGCTGTCCAAGGCAGCGCTGTTCCTAGCTTCCAGGCCACCATTCCCACTGGTGCCTCCGTAAATACTCTCGCCTTCGGAACTCTCTTGCCTCGAATGCCCCAGTCCCAAACCATTGGCACTTGCAGCAATCTCGGAGTTCATGCTTGGCACTTGGCGACTACGTCGGCGGTAATTGTCGACAGAGTGCTCGACTTGGTCCAGCAGAAGGGCCACTTTCTGTTCAGCATCGCTCGCACGTTGCTCCAGTAGCGCATTCTCTGATTGTAGCTGTTCGAGATCCTTACGATGGTTACTCAACTTCTGTGTGGCCTCTTCGCTGCTCTTTAAAGCCGTTTCGCGGTGATGATTGGTTTCTTGGAGTTCTGTTTGAAGACCGAGGAGTCGCTTCTCCATTTGAGCTGCAGACTCTTGGAGCTCTGTCTCGAGGCTTCGAATGCGCGCCTCAAGTTCGGCTTTTTCATTCTCCCAATGAGGCGAAGCAGGGGTTGTGCTACTTTGAACGCGGTCTTCGAGCTCCTCAATCTCTGCCTTCAAACGGCCGTTCTCCGTCTTATATCGAGATAATTGATCTTTAAGCTGCTTGAGCATCTTCTCAGTGCCCTTGACATAGTGCACAGCTGACTGATAATCGCTCTCAAGTTGCGAGAGTTTCTCACGCCAAGCCGCTTCGGATTCCTGAATTTGAATTGCAAATGCTTGCTTGGTCTCTTCATGAGCGGCCGACGAGGTGGCGAGCTGAGATTCGAGATCTCTGACACGGTTCAAATCAGGCGAGTTGGTTCGTGGGTTGGGAAGATTCCGAGCACGGATAGAAGCTGTTGGGCTTATGCCACGTTCACTGAGGATGTCCTTCAGCGCGTTGTGCTGAACTGTCATCGCGTTCGTTTCAAGTTGTTGAGCAGCCAGTTGATTCTTAAGATCGGTGTTGGCTGCCTGTAAGCTTTGTGTATCGCGCAGCGCAGATTGGAGTTGCCTTCGAATGGTAACTCCCTCCCGGCTTGACTGTTCTTGGTATTGCTCAAGACCAGCAATACGTTCTTCTGCGCCACGTAACTTGTGAACTGCAGCCTCAAGCTCCTGCTGATATTTCTTGACCAATTCGTTGGAGGTGGTGAGCTGATTCTGCAAAGCGGCAATGCGCTCGGCATCTGCATTGCTTGATCCAGAAACATCTCGAGCAGAAATCTTGTCTAGGCCGGCAAGAACAGCTTGACGACTCGTTCTGGCCTCGGCCGCGTGTTTTTCTGAAAGCTCTTCCGCATCGCGCAGACGCTGAGTGGTAGCTACTAGTTCCGCAGTACGAGCTTCATGCTCAAACTTAAGCTTATTAAGTTGTGCTTCAATCTTCTCTCTCTGAGATCGTTCTTCAGCGAGCTGGGATTCCAAAAGGCCTGTTGAATCTTCTGATGCTACAATTGCAGCTCGAAGGGAATCAAAGGTTTCACTGTGGTCCTTTGAGCTTCCAATGGCTTCTTCATATTTCTGCTGCACGTCATTCTTCTCGATGCGGAGGAGTTCAACAGCAGCGGCAACTTCAGCGTGTGCAACTGAATGTTCTCGCGCTTCGTGTTGGGCAACATGCAGCTCAGCCTTGAGACGTTCAACCTCTGTTGAGGTTTGTTGTTTATAACTTTCCAATTCTGCCATGCGCTTTTGGGCTGCATTCGAGGTATCGTCTGCCAATTGTCGCGCCTTCTTCTCAGAATCAAGTTCGCTTTTCGCAGAATCGAGTCGTGACTGAAGATCCTTCTGGATGTGTAATGCAGTTGCAAGTTTTCTACTCAACTCACCAGACCTTACCTCAAAATCGTCTCTTGGGCCATCAAGCTGTGGTGTGCTTGCTGAGCTTGCACCTAGGTGGGCAGCCAGCTTAGCTTTAGAATAAACAGCTTCTTGAATGGCGGCATCGCGCTGCTTCTCAGCCTCGGCGATTTGCTTCGCTGCAATTATGGCTTGCTTGTCTACTGCAGTTTGAACATTTGCAAGTTCAGATCGCATCGCTAGTAAAGCCTCGATAAGTGGTCGGTCTTCGTCGTCAAAGGTTTCGGTTGCCTTGTTATCGAGTAGAGGGCTGTATGAAGTATTGGGCACGTAGCCGGCCTTTCGCGCGAGTTCTAACTCCGAAGCATACCATGCGTTCCTGTTTCGGGCAGAGTCCAGCTCCTTAAGAAGAACAACTGTTTGTGAGTTTCTACCAGAAGATCGCCTGGAAAGGGGATTGCTTGGCTGTCTCACGGGGACTGGCGGCGACGCTGGGCGGGGTGCCATTACCGGCTTGGGAGCAACGTCTGGGGGGGGATCACCTGCTCCTTGAGGGCGATTTTGTTGAGCTTGCTTCGCCTTAGATAGGTCTCCATTCACTTGATCCTGCCTTGAGCCAGCGCGCGCATTTTGTTGGACTGGTGTTCGTCGACCGTTCGATATAGGACTTTCTGTCTCAGTGATCACCTCTCGTGTGATAGGCGACCCGGAGTGCATTGTCCTTGGAGAACCCGAGGCTCCACCGCGTTCTGCGGACTGTCCTCTAACTCGTGCGACTGCAGACACGTCAACTGTAGGCCTAGCGGGCATCGGACCCTGAGGGGGAGGGCCAGACGGAGGCATAGCTGAAGCTCTGGGAAGTTTTGTGTTGGTGGTTGCAGATTGGGGGTTTTCTGCATCGCCATTATTAGGTGGCGATCGTTGCCCATTCGCTGGAGCCGAAGCACCCCCTGCAATCAACTTCCTTGAATCCGTTGGCCCGTTTGATCCATCTCGTGCAGGATGTGGCCGGCTGCCTTCGCTCGCACTTGGTCTACGTGAGCCGTGAGCTCGTTGCTGAGGCGGCTGCTGCGCATCGTTCGGATATCGGATCTTTGAGGTATCCAAGACATAGAGAAGGCCCAAATCGCTGACAGATGTAGTTGCTGAACTTGGCTCTCCACCGAGGACCACAATCGATTTGCCAACGGTTGTCATACTATGTCCAGAACGGGGAGATGGGAAAGGCCCCATGTTCTGAAATGTGTACCATCGTCTTGATGATATCCTAAAAGCTGCGAGATCGCCAAGATCTGTCCCTTCTTCTGTGCGCCCTCCGAAGACGTACATGACATCGTCCACAAGAGCAGCAGCGTGCCCCTCGCGTGGCGCTGGAATATAGCCAATGCAGTCAAATTGAGACCATTTGTTAACAGCTGGATCATAACACCAAACATCGTTAAACCATTGGAAACCATTTGTACCGCCAAAGCTATGGGTGTGTCAGTGTTGTTCAATGCAGTTCGACATTAATACTTACAGATACATTTTGTCGTTGAATGTGATCATAGTGTGGTTGGTACGAGCCGCGGGCATCTTGGGGCTTGTCTCGCCCTGGACCAAGATTTCCCAACGGTTATTTGGCATCTGAAGCTGGTTGAGGTCAAATGCCGAAAGATCATTCATAAACAAGCCCTCAACCTGGCCGCCGAAGACGTAGATTTTAGAGCCTAGAATGTTGAGTGAATGGCCATAGCGACCTGAGGGTCGGGGCCCAGCTGGAAGAGCGCGAGACCATTGTCTTGTTGCTGGCTTAAGGTTAGAGAATAGAAACCTCTACAAATGGGCAAGCTTACAGGTGTTTAAAAGATACAGTGTCTCGTCAAGAACGTCAGCCTCGTCGATCTTAGTGTCGCCTCCATATACGATGAACGCATTGCCGACAAGCAGACTCGAGTGTCCAACCCTCGGGCCAGGTCCTTCAGCCGTGGTTGCCAACGGGTAGCATGCCATATTACCTCCAGCCTCGATCATCCAGAGGTCGCCTTTGACTGTTGACCCATTAATCAGACCGCCCATTAGGTACACGTCTCCTTCTTTGGACGACACGGAGTTCACTGCAGCGCCATATCGAGGGAATGGAGAGGGGTGCGTCGAAGTATACGTCAATCGGCGTTGTGACCAAGGGTATAGAGATGCATTGGGACCGTTCATGGGGGTGCCATTTCGTACCTAAAAAATACCAGTGGTTAGGACTTCCCGACAGAATTGGATGCAAAAGCGGATAGGGAACTTACTGTTGTATCGTTGCTTTGTTGGATTGGTTGGTCAGCACTCCCACCACGGCGCCCGTGTCCATGTCCATGGCCATGGCTATGATCGGGGCTCCCATTACTGCCTTCATTATCGATTGAGTTCAAGCTCCCAGTTGGAGTTGCGCGATGTTGGAGAGAGTTCTTCTCAGAAGCACGGGCGCTGGTACTTTGTATCGACCCTTGAGAACCAGATCCTGCGTCGCGACTTGCAGGCTGCGACCTCTCTGGATGCTTTTTTGATTTGAATAGGAAGGCCATGACTTATCGCAAACAGCCGCCAAGCGGCTAGAAATCGATTCGAAAGCAGTATCTAACAATTCACGACAGAAATGTGATAGAAAGTCGCAAAGATAGTACGTTGTCGTGATGGAGTCGTCGCGTGGGTCAGGGATTGTTAGGAGGCGAAGCAAATAGCCCGACAACTGTAGGTAGAATGAGTTCCAGCCACAAGAGTAGTAGCAAGAATCAATATTCAAATTTCGAAGGCTGGGCCAGCATTGGTAGGCTTGTCGATAGAACTGCGGATCGTTCTTTGGGAATTTTGGGGACGTGGTCAGCCTCCCGAATTCCAATGTTCGAGAGAGGGGGCTGGCCTCGAGGCAGTCGATGCGCTGCTGCACGCCGTAGAGGAGCAAATGCTTTCTAGATCGATCTTTGTCGGCGCGAGTGAGGGTCGTTTGAAGCAGATGTAGAAATTCATACGCTAAAGAAGGGAAATGGTGGTGATGCGCAAATAAAGAGCCCCTGTCGGGTTGGCGCAGGAAAAGATGTGAGATGAAAAGAAAGTGGTGATGGTCAGGTACGAAATGAGTAAGGTAGCCAACAAAAGCCTGCGACAGCTGTAACGGAACGGAAACTGGCAGCGCAAAGGCGGATGGGGCTTGACTTAGTTGGTCCTTGTCAACCTCCTATGGTGGCCTCGACGACCTTTCGCCTCCTGTTGCTGGCTGTCTTTAAAGGCCAGCCCTTTCACTTCTGAACCCTGGTGGTCCCAGCCAATTATCATAGATTCCACCGCGCCCCTGCGGTTGGAGACCGGTGTCAGTTAAGACCCGACAATATTTAGGGGTTCCATGCAAACCAGTCAATGTAGTGTCATTGAGCACAGGCTTGCAGTGGCTATAGGTAGTGTGGAAAAGAACCTACAGAGTAAAGTACTTACCCAGGTAGTGGTCTTTTGGGAACTCGGCTCGGGCCACTTTCAAGTTCTTTCATGTTCCTTGCAAGTGCCAACTGCAATACTGCCAAACTTGAGCATTTACAATGTTTCGAGTTCGTTCTACAGTGCCATTCTTCACGTGTTGTTGCACATCCTGTCGAGGGCTACCTACAGGTAACACAACATCGTCATTGCTGATCGAAGTCCCCATTCCACGTCACAAATGGGAAACAAATTGCCGCCTGCTTGGCCAGGACTACTATTTAAATACCTTGCCTTATAATTGGTGACGAGACGGTATCGCGGCTTGTGCATTCAACTTTTAGCCGGGGTCTCTTTGTTCCTTGCATCTTAAAGGTGGAGACACCCTGGCGACTAGGAACCGGAAGCTGAAGGCATTCATCCAATCAGCTATATTTTGTGCCCCTTTCGTACATTGTGCCTGACAGTAAGTTGCACTTGACCTATTCAAGATGTGAGCATTGCACATGCAGTATGATATGGATTTCAAGTTACGCATTTTTGAAGCCATAGCAGGGTGTTGGTTATGAGTTATATCGCCAAACACAAGTGCCATACATCCTTTCTAGTTCTTGTAAAACGTAGAGGAGAAATGGTTGTGAATAGGCCTGACATATGGAAGAGTCATACCTACTTGGGGTTCTCCAACATCCAGACTTCTTTTATTAGCCTTTGTCACGCAGACCTAGGTAATGCTGACGGTCCTTTTCAATCCGTTAGGGTCTCAGTGGTAATGCTACTAACCCTAGTACTAACCTTAAGGTAGCATGCATCTAAAAACTCGCTATGTCATTCCTTCCTCACGTACCGTACCTATATCACATCACTCACCTCTTACCAAAGAACTGGTCAGCATCCATTCCAATGTTGGCATTTCAGTTGAAAGGGTTCCAATACCAAGTACAGTGATCCTGCTCCGTACTCCATAAGGTAGGTCAATTAACATTACATTTGCCAATCAGGCTTGTATTCTCCTACCTACTAGGTAGTATCAAAGCTATGTTTTTCTCAACGTTCAATGAAGAATTAGAATCGTGAAGCCTGTCCACTAACATAATATAACTCATCCCTATTGGATGGCCATGGATGTGGTTTCATGTTTCTCGGGCGCTAACATCGTCAAACCCAACGGCCTACGCACGCCAAGGTAATTACTTTTCTTCCCTCTGGCTTAGCCCCACCGAATTCCCTCTTGGATGAACAATGCAATTAAAAATAAAGGGGTGGAAATCCGGTACCCCGTTAACATATAGTAGCGGCTTGTTCAAGTTGACATGGGTAACACAGTATTAGTCCAGCCAAAACCGCACTCCGCGGCTCTCTGAAGTAGATACAGCTTTAGTGGTCAACAGATCTCACAAGTTCCAGTCCTTGAATCCAGTACTTTATAGTAGACTGGAAAGGACACTCAGATCCATGGTTCTGACTTTCACTGCTGGGCTGAAGTACTTGGCCCTTAGGAGGGCTCGCAATATAAGGTAGAACCAGCTTATTTGCCCCATACTCGAGGGTTCATTCCTCGTGACAGCAAACACTCGATGTACTGGATGCTGGTTTTGGCGTGCTAGCACAATTTAAAGAAACATAATACCCTGCTGCTCAGCTATTGTGGTTTCTTAGATTTCAAATCAATGTTTGGCCTGCGTTATAAACGTATTGAATATCCTTTGTCCTGTTGCCAAGGGCAAATCCATGGGGCCGTTACAATTGAAATTGACACAATATCCATATATGAGTGTCAAGATGAACAACTATACATCATACCCTCTACTACATTGTACAGTTGGGGAGGCATCAAGTTCACATAAGCCGGGTTTAAGAAGAGGAGAAAGAAACCTCGGCGAGTTGAAGGAGCTAACAGCCACGTGCAAGATCACGCGTCGTCCTCCATTCTAACGTCTTGTGGCTGCCAGTCCTTCAGCCCGTGATGCCTGGGGTTGGCCAGCCAGGGTTTCTGGGAGCGGGGACAAAAACAAGCAGTCCAGTGAGACTCATTACATTAGGTACCTAGGTAGGTAGTACCTACCCTAGGTCCATACTTATTCAACCTTACAGGTTGGTCAGCGTTCAAGCGATTGAATGACCAGCAACAATGCTGGTGCAAATAAGCAAAACCTCATTTGAATATTAGAAATAATTTAGTAAGAATCAAATTACGATTCAGATTTACCTTAGTATATGCGTGCTGCCTTTGCGTGCAAGTGAAGAACTAAGACAAAGGTAACCCGCCGGTGTTCTAGGAACTCATAATTTCTGCCTTTATCCTGGTCAGCCGCCCACGAACTTTAGACCTCATCTTTTGCTCCTCTCAACCACACTCAAAAGTCTTCCCAACTGCTTTTGGGTATTCGGCACCTGAGCGCAGTGACCAACCCATAGTGGAATAACCGAAACGGGCTCAAAAAAGAGAGCTATCATCCGCAATGCCGGCTTGAGCTACACAGAGAGCCATGACAGCCGTGTCGTTCCAATAGACGTCACTTCCTCCACATCTCCATACCTACTAAGCCAGCCAACCGCTTCACTGCAAGCTCCTCCACCAACGCTAGACTTATCAACCTGCGCCCGTCACGACAATACGCGCATCTCGGCCACAACCAACTCCCTGCGTTGATAGCGACACGCTACGGTTATTCGGCCGTCATGGCGCTGCGATCCGACGTTAACGGCTCCTCTGCGCCTAACGCTGAGCCCAATGGAGCTGCCTCGGCAGCGCGACCCAGGGTCAACGGCCGTTCAACCTCTAACGATGCTACCAGGAGCGACGACGATGGTCAACGACCTTCGAGCGCACCGAACCGGCGCAACGGAAGCATAGCGCTCGAGACAAGAGACGACATCGTGCATCACCAGAAAACGCGGCCTGCCAAGCCAATACTCCTCCGGTCGAAGAGCGACTACGCGCCCCGACCGATGGAAGAGCCTGAGCCGACAGAAGACGATATACCTGAATGGGGTGCTAGACATGGCTTTGAGGACCATTATCAGTCGGAAGACATTATATCTCAGCTGGCTAACGTGAGTTTCCCCTCTCATTAATGTCGATTTGCTGGTCAGTCATCTTGGGTCCATCCCAGCCTCTGTAGCATGCTCGACAGATGCAGGATAAAGAGACCCTGGTTATAATATGCCGTGGCACATGGAAACAAGCGCCTCGGGCCTCAGCTTTTGAGTCTCCCGGCGGCTTGATCATTTGTTTAGATGTCTTCCATGTTTTAACCCCAGAGGAATAGATTTACAGCCTTGACTTCGAGACCATGCATTCACCATATCCATGTTGCCTTGAGTTTACCTAGCTAATTATGCCTTCAGAATTGGTATATGTATTTTACCGATAAACGACACGAAACGACAGGCAAACCTAAACCACTACAATACGAACTTCAAGATTGGCGGCAGAGAGATAGGTTAAAAACAGTGTCTGCAGCTCTCGCGGTGTGTTTGAATATAGGAGTCGAACCCCCTGACCAGCTTAAGACCAACCCAGGTGCGAAGCTCGAGGCCTGGACAGATCCTACGATACCTCCAATTCAAAAAGCCCTCGAAAATATTGGCAAGTCACTTCAAGCACAGTACGAAACTCTTGCGATACGAGCGCGATACAAACAATACCTAGACCCTTCCGTCGAGGAGACAAAGAAATTCTGCATCTCGTTACGCAGGAATGCCAAGGATGAACGTGTTCTGCTTCACTATAACGGACACGGCGTGCCCAAGCCAACCGCATCAGGCGAGATTTGGGTATTTAATAAGAACTACACACAATACATCCCTGTATCACTGTACGACCTGCAGCATTGGCTTCAAGCTCCCACCATCTTTGTCTGGGACTGTTCTGAAGCCGGCAACATTCTCAACAACTACCATCGATTTGTTGAGAAGCATGAAGAAGAGGAGGAGGAGGCCGCAGACCGCGACCCAAACTACACGAAAACTAATTTCAGGCCCTATATCCATTTGGCTGCCTGCGCTGTCAAAGAGAATCTTCCGACAAACCCTCTTTTGCCTGCTGATCTCTTCACAGCTTGCCTCACCACTCCCATTGAGATGGCTTTGTGGTTCTTCGTTCTGCAAAACCCTCTCAAGACCAATATCAGCCCAGAGCGGGCAAAAAAACTACCCGGCCGCCTCCAGGAGCGGCGAACACCACTGGGGGAACTTAATTGGATTTTCACTGCTATTACAGACAGTATTGCGTGGACAACACTGCCTCGCGATCTGTTCCGAAAATTCTTTCGACAAGACCTGATGGTGGCAGCGCTGTTCCGCAATTTTCTTCTTGCCCAACGCGTCATGACTG